AAACTCCCCAATTTAAAAAAAAAACCACAGTAAATGGACTTAAGAAAAAAAATCCAACTATGCTGTTTATTAAAGACTAAAGTTAGACCTAAGGACATACATAGACTAGAAGTGAAAATATAGAAAAGATCGTTCATGCAAATGGTAGCCAAAAGAGAACAAAGAAACTGTTTTTATGACACAAAATAGATTTTGGTGTCAAAACGTGTCCCAAGAGGGAGCTGGGGTGTGGCTCAGCAGTAGAGCTCTTGCCTAGCAGATGTGAGGCCCTGGGTTCAATCTTCAGCACCACATAAAAATAAATATACAAAATAAAGGTATTGTGTACAACTAAGAAATAAATATTTTTTAAAAAAACGTGTCACAAGAAACAAAGAAGGACATTATATAATATTGAAAGAATCAACTCACCAGGAATATAGAAAAATTATAAATATATATGCACTCAACATCAGAGTACCCAAATATAAGGAGTAAGTACTAACAAAACTGAAGGAGGGGCCGAGAATGTACCTCAGTGGTGAAGTGTGTGCTTACCATTTAGGAGGCCTTGGAGTCAGTCCCAGCAATGTCAAAAACAAAACAAAACAAAAACCAAACCAGAAAAACTTGAATAGAGAAACAAATAATGACACAACAATAATAGGAGACTTCAATGCACCACTTTAAATAATAGATCATCCAGACGGATCGATAAGATAACAGAGTATTTGGACAACATTATAGACCAATCAAGCATAACAGACATATGTAGAACATTCCACCTGACAGCAGTAGAACACACCTTCTTCCCAAGCAAACAGAATGTTCTTCAGACTAGATCACATGGTAAGTCGCATGACAAGTTTTAACAACTTAACAAAATATTGAAATTATACCACAGAGGGATGAAACTAGACATCAGTAGCAGAGACAAAAATGAAATAAAATAAAATATACTAAAATTTATGGGATGCAGCAAAAGCAGTATCAAGAGAAATTTATAGCAGCAAACATCTACATTTAGAAAGATCAAAAAACCTAACTTTACAACTCAAGGAACTAGCAAAAGATGAAAATCCAAAGTATAAAATTGGTAGAAGGAAGGATAATGAAGATTAGAAGAGAATAGACAAAGCACAAAATAGAAAAAAATAGAAGAAAATTCCATGCTACAACTCAATAACAACAACAAACCGTCATTTCAAAATGGGCAAAGAACTCAATGGGTTTTTCTCCAAAGAAGATAAACAACTGACCGACAGATGCATGAAAAGATGCTCATATCACTAATGATCAGGGAAATGCAAATCAAAACACACACACACACACACACATCCCAGAAAATAACAAGTGCTGGACCCTGTGTTAGTAAGCATGCAAAATGGCATGGTAGCCCTGGAAAACAATGTGGAGGTTGCTCAAAAATAGGATTGCCATAAGGTCCAACAATCCAGCTTCTGGGTATTTATTTATCCAAGAGAATTAAGAACAGGGTATTCTACCCCCCCTAATTTTTTTTTATTGGTGCATAATAATTATAGTTTCATTGTGGCATATTTGTACATAACATCATTTGGTCAATTTAATTTCCCAGTACCTCGATTCCTACCTCTGCCCCCTCCCCTTCTCCTACTCTACTGACCTCCTTTCCATTTTCATGAGATCCTCCTCCCTTTCTCCAATTTTCTCTCTAGCTTCCACATATGAGAGAAAACATACGAACCATTTGTTGAAGAGACTGCTCTCCCCTGAGTAGAATGACTAAATCTGACTTACTTTGCTTAACATGATATTCTCCCTTTCCACTTATTTTCGAGAAAATGACATTATTTCATTCTTCTTTATGATCAAATAAAACTCCCATTTGTGTGTGGCAGTGGGGGGGGGCATTTATTTATTCATTGACAGACACCTAGGTTGGCTCCATAACTTGGCTATTGTGCCATTGTGAATTATAATATAATAAACGTGGGTATGCATGTATCACTGTAGTATGCTGATGAATGATATAGGTGGGTCATATGGTGATTCTATTCCTAATTTGCTGAGGAAATTGATTCCATAGTGGCTGTACGAATTCACATTTCCACCAAAGTGTAGGCATTCCTAGCTCTAAACTTTCCTCTTAGAACTGCTTTCAATGTATCCCACAGGTTCTCATAAGTTGTATTTTTATTCTCATTTGATTCTACGAATTTTTAAATTTCTCCTCTGATTTCTTCAAAGGTTAACTTATCATTCCAAAGTGTATTGGAGAACAGAGTCTAGAAGAGATATTCATACTCCCGGGTTCTTTCCATGGGTAAATGTTACAAAAATGCTGAATGAAATAAATCAGTCACAGAAAGACAAATACTGCATTATTACATTTATCTAAGGTATCTAAAGGAGTCAAATTCATAAAAAGAGAGAGTAGAGTATTGGCTCTCAGTAGCCATACAAAAAAGGAATGGAGAGTTACTGTTGGGTGGAAACAGTTTCAGTCCTGCAAGATGAAACAATCCTAGGATCTGCTGTATGATGATGTGCACATAGTTGAGAATTCATCTGATGTGTTTCTACCATGGTAAAAATGAATAGGCAAAAGACATTAATAGGTAATTAACAAAAGACATTAAAATGGCCAATAAATATAGAAAAGTGACCTTCTAGAGTGGTCATCAGGTAAATCATATTAAAATAAAAAGAAGACACCATTGCTTATCCACCAGATTTGGGGGGGGGACATGAATAAAAATTAAAAAAACCTAACAATAATCTACATTGATAAAAATGAGGAAAAACAGGAACTCTCATACTTGGTAGTAGCTGTTGGTATAATCAATTTCTAAATCAGTTTGACTTCATGTAATAACATTAAACACAGTCACACCCATATCTTGACTAACATATAGGTTTAAGGAAATAGGTATCTAAATCTCTCCTAAACGATACACAATCTCTAATTTTTCAAAACTATTCAAACAAGTCTGAACTCTGTATCAGTTTAAGAAATCTCTGGAAAACTATCTCCTAAAAGTTGAGTGACCTGTTAGATATTTGGGATAAGTAGCCAAAAGACGAATAAAAATGTCTATCATGTATTGAGCATTCACTTGGTTCATGAAATATGGTGGGTTTGGAAGGTGATTATTGTTCACTCTCTTAAATCCCCTTCAAGTTTGGATCTAACTGGGAAAGTATCAGAAGGCTTAATAGAGATAAATCTAGTAAGGAAATTTTGACCAAATAAGACTCCTGCATAACTCTTAAGATTATTGCCTTAGTCACAGATAGGACATGGCAGTCACATATCTGCATTTTCTTGACAAGACAGTGAAGACAGAGGGGTCAAATGATGTACTACTATCACCCATCGAGGATGTGACAGGGTAGGATAGGTTAAGATGGTTATTGTCCTTAGAAAGAAAATGAGCTTTGGCATTAGATAGAATTGCTGTCAATCTTTCCCACTGCTTACTCGGTTTTCTTTGACTAATAAGATGGAGATAAAATTCCTACCTTGGGTTCAGTTAACAAAATACTTTCTTGAGTCAGGACCCATGCTTTTCATGACTTACTATACTGCTTCTCTCAAGACTGTGACATCACTCCGAGGCTGGGCATGGAGGATCACACCTGTAATCCCCACAGTTTGGGATGCTGAGGCAGGAGGATTACAAGTTCAGGGCAAATTAGTGAGGTGCTCAGTGGTAAAGTGCTATTGGGTTCAATCCCTGGTATAAAAAAAAATTCCACAGGTAGGACAGGGGAAGAGTGCGAGCCAGAAAGTTTGAAAGTGGGAGCCATGGGAGTAGATGGAATTACTCAGGAAGGGAATGGAGAACAGAAAGGAAAGGCTAGGTACAACAGACTAGATAAGTTAGAAAAGAGACTTATTTTAGCTGAAGGTAATGGAGGAGCATGGACCAGTAGCCACTCTGGTGATGGCCTTCTTGCTAGCAGTATTGAGGTGACCAAGAGCATTTCATGGCAAGAGAAAGGGAGTGTGTGTGTGTGTGTGTGTGTGTGTGTGTGTGTGTGTGTTCATGCGCACGCGCGTTTGTGTTCTCTCTCCCTCTTCTTATAAAACCACAAGGATTCAATCATGGACTCTACCCTGAGAACCTTTCAATTCCAATCACTTCTCAAAGGGCCCACTGCCCTAAACACAATTGGATTATGTCTCCACCCTTATCATACCTCAAAATGGGAATTGAATTTCAACACACGAAGCCTTGGGGGACAAACTCAAACCACATCCAAACTATAAGAATAATACTTTAATACAATTATTTTCCCACTCTACCCATCACCTCTGGACAGTAGCTCCCCTTTCCTTTACTTAAATGTAAACAACTTGCTTCTGCTTTGAGATTAATTGGGGGCAATGCCCGCGAGACAGAGCAAAGTGTAAGATGGTTATTGTCCATAGAAAGAAAATGAGCTTTGGCATTAGGCAGAATCGCTGTCAATCTTTCCCACTGCTTACTCGGCTTTCTTTGTCTAATAAGACGGAGATAAAATTCCTACCTTGGGTTCAGTTAACAAAATACATAGTTGGCTCCGTGTCACACACTGTTCTAAGCCTGTTCAAAATATTAAATAATTTAACCCTCCCATCCATCATGCCTTGGAGATATTGTCTTCATTTTCTAATTAAAGAAATGGTCCACGGAGGAGTTAAGTGACTTGGCAGGGTCACACAGCTGTGGAGCAGAGGAGTGTTATCTATCCATCCTGCAGAAGACGTACCCATCCTGGGACCTGGCATGCGATAAGGGCTCTGCACACTGCAGCTGCGGCTGCCGTACACGCAGCTTTTGAGTGGAATCTGGTCTTCCAGGAACCTCGGTTTCTCTAAGTGGCGTGGGGCTGTGAGGGCACCCCTGGGGCTAGCCCCGGGACCCCACCCAGGAATCCTGCGGTGGTCAGCAGGGGTTTCAGCTCCTCTTCTCCGCCTCCGGAGGGCGCTGTGGTCCTTGCCGGCCGCGAGCTCGCTGCTAGCGGTCCCCGCGGCAAGGCTCGCTGCCTGCAAGATGTCCGTGCGCCGGGGCGAGCGGTCCGCGCGGCTCGGGACCCGCCTCTCCTGGCTGCTGTGCTGCAGCGCCCTGCTGTCCCCAGCCGCCGGGTACGTGATTGTGAGCTCTGTGTCCTGGGCTGTCACCAACGAGGTGGATGAAGAGCTGGACAGCGCCTCCACCGAGGAAGCGCTGCCCGCGCTGCTGGAGGACTCGAGCAGCATCTGGCAGCAGAGCTTCCCAGCCTCGGCTCACAAGGAGGACGCGCACTTGCGGCCCCGGACAGGTGCTGCCCGCGCCAGGCCACCCCCGGCGCCCCCGGGGATGTTCTCCTACCGGCGGGAAAGCGGCCCGGCGGCCGGTGCGCCCCCTGACCCGAGACTGCGCGCTGGCACCGCCCGCTCCCTGGCCCACGCCAGCGCCTGGGGCTGTCTGGCCACCGTGTCCGCCCACGAGAAGGTAAGCCACCCCGGCTGGGCCCCCTGATGCGGTCGTACGTCTCGCGGTGGCCTGGCGAGTAAGCGGCGCGCCCAGGAGCCAGGGAGATGCTAGAGACCTCCCGCGTACTCAGATCTGGGTTTAACAGACGTGCCCAGTGGGCTGCATTGGACTGTAGACGCCTTGCAAAGAACCAGACTGTGCTTGGGTGGGTTAGACTGGCAAAGTGTGGGAGCGGGTGTGGGGGAGGCACGGAAAACCAGCCTTCGTGCCAGATGGTTGGGGACTAAATCCCTGTCTAGAGGTGGTCAAAGAAAAATAAACGGGCGTCTGACTAGAGAGAGTCGGACAAAAGGAGTCAGAACCTTGGAACAGCGGAGTTGGCAGGAACAGCCCCTGCGGGCTCACGGAGCAAATCGTCTTCCCCATCATCTACTGACATGGAATCGAGTGGGGATGGGGAGAAAAACAATACCGCTGCTTTGATGGAAATTCATATTTACAAAAATGAAACTTGATAATTTTTTTCTGGAAAGAAGGCTTATGCAGATGTGTGAATGCTGGAATGAGCTGTCATAGGCTGTATTTTCTATGGTTCAGTCCAAACATGTTTGATTCACCTGTTAGATAAGATTGCCCCTGGAGTGCCATGGAATAAGAAATAAGAATGTAACTTCCATAAGTATACAGCGTCAGAAAGGCTTTGGAGCCCTTCAGGTGGATGTCACTGTTTTATTGCAGGGCAGTATTTTGAACTCTATTTACTTCATGCAAAAAATAATTAACATCTTTAGGATGCAATGGGCATCGCCTAGGAATCTTGACCCAGCTCTGGGTCTCTATGGCTTCCATCTGGCCAAGTCACTGGCTTCTCCATTTTGCTTTCCTCATCTATAAAATTAAGACGTTGACTAGGCAGTTTTGAAGGTCCTTTTTGCTTAAAAAGAAAATCTAAATGACATCGATACGGCAATGATCTGAACCCCTTTTGTGTCAGATACTGAGCCAGTTGGATATGCCCAGCATACAAATGAGTTTTCATGGTTATAGCTTCACTCTTAAAACACAGCTTAAGAAAATACAAAGTTTAAATATAAAACTAATCTTTGTTTAAAACAAATCTTTTCGAATGAAAATCTAGTGCCAATGTATTAAAGATATTTTGACTTCCAACCAAATATCTATCTTAGCCTTTTCCAATATTGACATTTAACCCAAACTTAATAAATTCAGAAAACATTTGCATGCATGTAAAACATGACGCTGGACAGTTTATGACATGCTGAAGACGCCATCTGTAAATGATGTTATCATACTATTTCGGAGGGGTCCTTAACATTTTATATGTTTAAATGATTAAAATGCTTCCTTCTACAATTTTAAACCCCATTGCAACACTTCAAAGACAAAGACAGTCCTAGAATTCTGAGCCAAGGGACAAAGAGATGTACTTTAAGGAATAAAGTAAGATTGGGATGCTACACCAGTAGGGTTTGGGAAAACCTAAGACTTAAATATTTTTGTCTATGTCTGAGTCACAGAAACATGAAACACTACCCTTCACCCACCCTATGATCACGAACAAAAACTGGTATATCATATTACTGTGACTTCCTTTATGCTAAAATGGTTGCAGCATTTTCCCCATAACTCGCTGAGTTATATAATGAAATGTTACTGATCACAATAAAAAGGCAATCAGTGAATGAGAAAACTGTATAGCCCCGAAAGAAACAATAATAGAATGTTCCTGGTGTTCAAACAGCAAGCAAGATATTAAAGTGAAGAATTAAATTCTATTCCCAAAGTTGCCAAAAATTGGGGGGAGGCATTGAAGGCAGTTAAGAGGAAGTTTGAGGAAAGGCTCACCACCACTCACACCCCCAGAAATTTCACCGCCCCTCCCCCAAAGAGCATTACATTCAATAAAGTGACTCTGTTTGCTATTCATAGGCAGCTTCAAGAATAATTCTTTAACTTTCAAACAGAATGTCACAGCTAAGCATCACTTACAGAGAAATCCTGAAGCCAGCACAAGGTGATGTGGATAGATTGGTACCACCTTGCCTTAATTTACTCCTTGTCAAACTCACTGTGACGTCATGGTCCCCCCTACACACACAGTTCTTGGTGCTGTATTTCCTAGACAGGCTCACACCTCACATCAATCCACAATTCTGCCATTGAAAAAGACTCTTTTGATTTTTTAAATATTTATATTTTAGTTGTAGTTGGACACAATAACTTTATTTTATTTATTTATTTTTATGTGATGTTTGTTAGATCCCAGGACTGCCGTTTGGGAACTGCCTGCCCATCAGTGATGGTCCCTTCAACAACAGTACTGGAATTCCTTTCTTCTATATGACCGCCAAGGACCCTGTGGTGGCAGATCTGATGAAAAATCCCATGGCCTCGCTGATGCTGCCTGAATCAGAAGGAGAGTTTTGCAGGTAGACAAGGGTACAACTTCACTGGCACATTAGGGGACATTTTTGGCAGAGAGTTGGAGGGTGTTCCACACAGCTGTAATAGAACCTTGAAAAGTAGATCCATGTCTTTACCCTTGGAATCAGCTGAATTAGAAGTCCACCCTGACCAAGCAGTGTGATTTAGAGCAAGTTACTTAATATTTGTGAGCTCAGTTTCCTCATCTGTGAAATGGGAACACAGATGAACCTTGTTTTACATTGGGTCTGCATCTCAATAAATCCATCATAAGTTGAAAATATCATAAGCACTGAATACACCTCACCTACCTAACATCATAACAGCCTTGCCTGCCTTCAGCATTCTTGGAACACTCACATTAGCCTATGGCCAGGCAAAATCATGGAATGCAAAGCTTTTTTTTATAATAAAATGTTAATAGCTCATTGTAATTTATTGGATACTTGTACTCAAAAGGAAAAAGTGAATGGTTATCCTTTATCAATAGCCCAGGAAAGGGCTAAAATGTAAAATTTAAAGTACAGTTTTTCCTGAATGTGTATCACTTTTAAACCATTATACAGACTTAAAAACAATAAGCTGAACCATCTAACTTGGAGATGTTTGTAATACTTTCTACTCCACAGGGTTACTGCAAGTGTTGGACACGAGTGCACAGCACCTGGTTCAATGGCAGCTGGATAAATGGCCATTCTTGGTATTAGGGAAAAGGGTGGAATGAGTTGGGAGTCAGTGAAGGAAGAGTCAGTTGTTTGTCTCCCTGGCACGGGCAGCATAAGCTTATTTATTGCTTTTGCAATTCATTTATATCCCATTACCCCTTGAGAGATGTATGCAATACAGATTCAGCATCCTCTAATCCATTTTCTCAAGAACTCTACAAAATAAAAGTCTTCTAAAGACATTTAAGCAAAAATGGGACATACATCCAGGCACCAACATCTGAACTCAAAATGCAACACTCAAAATCCTATCCTGCTGGGAAGATGTCTGCACCAAGCTCACGTGGGGACTGTATGTGAGAGATCCCTCCCTCCCACTCTAAAGATAGTTTGCACTGAGTGGGGGACACCTTTAACCTCCAGAACTTTAGTCATTTCACCTTTAAAATGTAGTGCTGATTTAGAAAATTAAGAGTCTTCATCCCACGTCTGAAATTCTATTATCCTTTAGGCACAGCATGAAAAACACACTAACCAAACAACTTATTGGTTCTTATGGAAGCTAATCAAAGCCACAACAGTATAAAGTGCAGCCTGCGTGAGACCCTGCCCTCCTAACTCCCACCCTAGTTGTTTACCCTTGGCAGTGAGAGACTCCAGTGGCAACACTTCAATTGACCCAGATCCCCTCCGGGTGATGGCAAGAAGCTAGGAAAAGAAATGTCTCCTTTTTCATGGAGTGCTCTCCCTGCTCTTGACCAGTCACACTTGCTGTGACCAGAAGTCTATTTCCAGGATTTCTTTCTAAACTTACAGGCTTTCCTAATTCAGGCGTCCCCAAAGCCGTCTTGCCATGGCGTGTTGATCCCAGAACCCAGAGCAGGCGTGCCACGGACTATAGATCTGTGAACTTAGCTGCAGCAGTCCTCCAGCTAGGGAAAGGATTTGTCTTCTGGCAGGCCTAGGCAAACATCAGCGGGAGCTGAAATCTGGAGAAGTGACAAATTTAGCTGAGGGGGACAGGTCATAGAGTAACTTCCTGCAGCCTCCTGAAATACCGGGCATGCTTGCCTACACAGTCCAGGATCACGCATGCAGATGTCGTATGTAGAATATGCAAACCTCTGTGCAGCGCACTGGGTAAAAGATGAGGGATCTCATGACCAGACGTGACCACACCATGGCCAAGGGCACACCTGCAACTCTGGTCTAGGAGAAAAAGGATGAAGCACACCAGTGGGTAACTCTGTTTTTAGCAAAACTCTGTTTCTCAGAACTGCTAGCCCCTGGCATTTTTTAAGCTTCTGAAGTATTGAAACATGATGTAAATATTTACAACATTAGTTTTGCCTTAGTAAGCATTATACTTCAAAGCTAATGTTCTCGAGCAATCCCAGGGAAGACAACTTCCCATGAACGGCTTAAGCACAGATGGGAGGTTCACATTCCAAGTTCAACATTGCAGTTTAGGTTTTACCTAAACCCCACAATCTTAGTAATGTTGAACCCAGGGGTGTAAGTCAGAACCAGGCTGCCGGCACTGAAAGACAGACCTAGAAGTCAGTCCCAAATAAATAAGCTAAGCACGGAGCTTCTGGGGCCACCAGAGCATAGTGTGACACCTGGCAGTAGCATCTGTAGCAAAGTGATACCCAGACAAGCTTTTAGGTAGTGTCAAAGGATGCACTAGCAGGAATCCAGCAAGCAGACCCTCCTTCCTGATCCTAAGTTAGTACCAGTAGGACCAGGTTCATGGTCAAGTACTTCACAGCATTTCCTATGTAGTGGGAGAGAATTGAGAAAACATCCATCTTATAATGATGATGTCGAGATAAGGCCACCTGATTCTTTCACCTTTGGAAGGCAGCTGATAGTCAGAAAAATGTAAATTGCCTTTGTTCCATGAAGAGGGATGCTGATGAACTGGAAACTTGGAACATCTCTTTTGTCGTCACAGTTCATGCGTTCTGTGTGCTCGTATTTCTCTGCTGGTTTGTGCACATACTGTGCTGCTCTAGATATCCCCACCCTAAGTGGAAGGCAGTGCTAGAACTAGACCTTTCAGCATGCTTCAGCCCAGGACTCCTGTGGGCCTAGAGGGCCTCGTTGGGGCTGGCTGAGGAACTCTCAGAAGTTGAACCATAAACCAAGTTCGGACAGAGAGGAAGCAGCATGGCCACTGACCTCTGAGGAAGGATAGCAGGACCTTCATAGCCATTTCTTGTGGACCTTGGGCATCTCCAGGAATGAAGTATTTTCAGCTGCAAGCCTGCCTCTCTCTTCATCAGGATTATCTCTGGTTCCTGCAGGGTCTGGTGGCCTCCAATAGGACAAAATCCAGGAGAAGGAGGCTTCCAAAAAATGGGGCTGAGCACAGTTCAGGCCTAAAGATGGGAGGGATGCAGGTTCGCAACTACTGCAAGGGAAGGCTGAACTGGCCCTCTGTACTTTCAGAACTCCATTTGGCAAATAAGACAATTATAGTTGTGATGTGTGTGTTTAATAAGCAGATGGATGGATGGATAGATAGATAGATAGATATACAGATACTTAGTTCATTTTCTGTTGCTATAACAAAACGCCTGAGGCTGGGTGCCTTATAAATAAAAAGAATTTATTTACATCACAGTTCAGAAGTTCAAGAGCGTAACACTGACATTTACTTGGCTCTGGTGAGGGCCTTCTGGCTACATCAGAACATAGTGGATGATTTCATGGTGGAAGCACATGTGAGAGGGAGAGATCACATGGTGCATGGTGAGACCAAGGAAGAGGGATTCACAAGCTAGGCTTGCTCTTTTTATAACAACTCATTCCCATGAGAACTAACCCAGTCTGCAAATATGTGGTGCCTCCATGACCTAATTACCTTGCAGTAGGCCCCACCCTTTAAAGGTTCCACCATCTCAACACTGTCACACTGGAAATCAAGCATGGGAACCTTTGTGGGGGAACACACTCAAACCATATGCAAAGTGTGACAGACAGACAGATAGATCCTTTCCCATATTCAACTATTCTCTCTCCTGAGAACATGTACCACAATTTTCCCCAGTTGGTTTCCCAGTTGACAATTACCTTAAATTAATTCTCAAACCAGCAGCCAGGATAATCATTTAAAACCCAAATAAGATCCTGGCATTCCTCTGCTAAAACCCTTTAGGAGGAAAATGAACAGAATCCTCTGCACGACAGAGCCTCTGCATGACCAGGTATTTGCTGCCTCTCAGAATCTCGATCAGTGTCTGCCCTGTTGCTGATTGACTTAATATTTTATTTATAGCTAGTTTTGCAAATTGGAAGCATAACCTGGAAGCTCGTTGTGGTTAAGACTGACACATGGGCTTTGGCACAGAGCTAAGAAATGTCTTCCACTTGCTGGCCCCTGTATGCCTGTTGACACAGCATGCTGAAACTGGAGTTTGACATGAAACTCTATCTCTGCTTCATCGGCAGCTCTGAGGGTCACAGCCACAAAGCCCAATTCCCCTCCTCTACCACTGAGTGGTGTGTTGCTGCTCTTCATGTGGCCTCTGCCCTCCAGTGCTGCAACAGACCCCAGGGGCTCACCTCCAGCTTCCTTCTGGGCCTCATGAATCCAAAGGATAAAATTCATGGGACAGCAGGAAGGCCAGAGTGAAAAGAGAAGGATTTATTCAAGTGTGAAGAATAATAGAAACAGGACTCTTGCAGGGACAAGAGGGGACTCCATTGGAGTTGCTCCCTGAATGCGCTAGTCTTGGGGTTTATATAGCACTTGGGCCAGTGCTAATCAGGGTTTGGAAAATGTACTAATGCTACTGGTCGGCCCCACTACTGTTTTCTTGCTGCTCGTGGGGAAGTAGGAGGTTGAGGTTTGCTGGTTGAGGGTTCAGGGCTATAGCACTGTGTGGGGCAGGTGGCTGCACTGATTGGGCAGTGCCACCATAGGTGACATATCAGAGTTCCCTGGCTTGCCTCATCCCTACTTGCCCCACCTCAGGCCCAGGCTGGCATGGCAGGCTCTGTGCACTCCAGTCTACCTTGGCCACCGCCCTGTAGCTTTGAGACAAGGGCTTGGCTGCAATTCTACTCAAAAAAAAAAAAAAAAAAATTTTTTTTCTTTCCGGTCCAGTAACTGGCCTGCCTAGTAAAGATAAAATTATGTCCAAATTGAAATGAGTGAAGGAGACTGAGTTTGCGGCGCTCCATGAATCTCAGGAAATGTATTGAGGCAAAAAATGTACACCACATGGAATTCCCTCTACTGAAGCTAGGAGAAGTTAGCATCTTGAGAATAAGGAGAAGGACGAATGCCTCTTTTCATGTGACAGATTTATAGGGACCTGAAAGTTTTTAAA